AAAGCTATATTTGTAAAAACTTCATGTTTAAATCAATCTTTAAATTATATCAATTTTCGCAAGTTACATTCTCTTCAAGCATATATTTTAAATTGTATATAAATGTCGGAAAACTATGTTGTTAAGCTCCCATATGGTTGAACTGACACGTAAAACAAGTTTACTTTCTTCCATCTTAATTGCTAGATGCTTATCATTCCGTATTTGAAAATAAAATAATAGTCATAAAACATTTGTTTCACATTGTAATTATTTAAAAAATACTTTTAATCTAAATCAGAAGCAAATCTTGTTCACACTTTCCTTTCCCACGCAGAAGTAATAAACCTCAAGGATTTTTTTAATGGATTTGTCAAGGACTTAGAGATTTTTGGTTTTCTTTTAAACTCTATCGAAATCAAATAAACATTTACTAAGCCTTTCATTAATTTTTTTTTTATAGATTTGTCCTACACAAAAATTTTGTTTCATTTTTGCTTGTAATTAAAATGTAATACGAAATTTCCTTAAAAATGAATAAAAAAGTAAGCATAACTTTAGCACAATAAAAAAAAACGTGTGTGTGACTCCCTAACATTTTGTGTCTGTTTATCCCAGACCTTTCAACAGCATTTTAATATATTGTCTAGTCAAGTTAGTGAATATTAACGTCACACTGTTCGACTACATGAGGGCTTGTGGGGACGGACCTCGTAATTTCGAACCGTAGTCAAGTGACGAGGACGACACCTGAGCTGACACCCCTTCTCCAAACAACCACACCACAACAATGGGAGGACGTTTGAGCTCTCGACAGATTTAACGCGCATCGCTCCCCTACACAGCGGGTCTTCAGCGGTACTAGGTTCGAACTTGTGATACGCCAGCCACGATCCAATACCTTGACCACCTGGATCCCACGGCCTCTATTGTTTAGTCAAGAGTAGAACGAGAGCTATAAAAACGTCACACTTTAATGCTGCACGAGTTCTTTTGGCGACAGACATCATAATTTTGAACCATGGTAAAGTGACGAGGACGACACTAGAGCACCCCTCTCTCCTAACTTCTACACCACGTCAAAGGGAGGACTTTTGAGCCTGGATAGATTTAATGTCTATCGGGTTCACACGACGGGTCTTCAGCAGCACTAGGCTCGAACTCATGATAAATCTGCCACGACTCCGTGGCCTTAACCATTACGTTACCGTAACCATATATTGTCCAGAATGGGTATTAAAAAGAAAATTTTTTTAGCCATGTCCAGTAATTATCAATAGGTTATTGTGGACGGACCATACAGTTACAAAACAAGGTTGCATGAGGATACAGCCATTTTAGCTGATATATCCTTTTATTATGATATCTTAAGATTTAAATGCACAGCAGTTTTAATCCATCCTACTCCATGATATTGGGGGAAATCGGGCTTCGGACCCGCCACCTCCTAGGTCATTTTTTCAAAAATAATATTTACCATTCTATATTAGTTAGAAATATGACAAATATATCCCTTATTCATATAAAATGAAATTATATTTAATCAACACTATATTTTTATACATTCAAGAGTAAGTGAATATTTTTCTATCTACCATTAGAATATTTCCTTCTCGGATTTTAGAGTGAGTGAATAAATATTACCGTCGTACTGTTCGACTACACAAAGGCTTTTGGCAACGGACCTCGTAATTTTGAACCATGGTCAAGTGACGAGGACGACACCTGAGCTGGCACACCACACTAACGGGAGGATGTTTGAGTTCTCGACAGATTTAACGTGCATTGCTGCCTTACACGGCGGGTCTTTAGTGGTACTGGGTTCGAACTCGTGACAAGCCAGCCACGCTCCAATACTTTGGCGACTAGGCTACCGCGGCCACTTCGGATTTTAGAAGTACGAACCTAAAATGTTTTGAATGAATTTGATTTTTCGGATACTTAATTTTAAGTTTTTGTAGGAACTATATACCGTAACAAGTATAGGCATTCTACTCTTCAAAAGATATTTAAACTTTATTTTACTACTATCATAGGCATAGCTAGAAAATAATTCTGATGAATGTCCAATTGTTTCATTAATAATTAAAATCAATATAATGGATCTTAATTATAGACAGTTATATATTTAATTATAAATTAGTTTAATTAGTCTAATTAACGACTCTAACTATGTTAGAGTCGTAAGTAAAACAATTAGATGAAATTCAAATTTTTCACAATATTTTAGTTACGTTATTAGGCTTACAATTGTACTATAACGTGTTCGATTTATGTGTAAAGTATTTATTACATTTAATTAAAAATACATCAAAAAAAATTTGAAGATTTTTCATAATATTATTTAAGGCTCATGAATAAGACGTAAATATTCTGTGAGGAGCTTTTAACTTTCCTAAGAAAAAATATAGAAACTAATATAGACTTAATACCTTCAGTTTCGCTAATTGATCATGATCATTATTATTATTATTGAACTCCTATTATTATATAGTTCACTTTCTCTCTCTGTGTATATATATATATATATATATATATATTCATCTTGTTCAAATTTTCAATCGTTAATAAAATACTTTCTTTTCATCCAATCAAGTTCAAATAATTTTTTTTAAACTTTCACTGGATGACACTTGATAACAGTTTTTTCAAATATTAATTCATTAAATAAATAAATTTAATTAATCACCAGTTTTTCAGCCAAGTCGGATGTACATTGTTACAACAATGCACACAAATCATGCTCTTTCTTCAATTCTACTATTAGTTCATTCTCTTCCTATACATATATCTCGTTCAAATTTCCAGCCGTTGATAAAATACTTTCTATTCATCCATTCAAAGTAGGAATTGACTTAAAAATTTTTTATATTACTTCTATACAAAGAAAGATTCAATATATATTCTTATAAAAATAAATCGTACAAATATAAATATATGGTGAAAATATAATTAAATATATTGTGGCTTGTACATTGACCCTAAGACTCTTAATTTTCAAATTTTTTCCAGGTAGGAAACTTCTAATCCTCCCCCCACCCACACATTCTTCATTCTCTTTTGGCTACCGCATTAGCTAAGAATTATACAAACACTTCCTAAAAGGGTTAAAGACAAATCTTCATATTCACTCATGAAACTCAGCCACTGAATTTCCAAATTAAGATGCGAATTCCATTTGAAGATCAAATAAGGCTAGATCACGAAAAAGGATTAAATTTAATTATGTCTTATCACGCATTGCTCCCGATAATATAATACTGCAACATCTCCCGAGCATGTGAAAAAGGCCACTGTAATTTTCCCTAAATGAATACTATTATGCTCATAAAGCCTCTTAAGGCCAGAAAAATTACCTCTAAACCGCCGACTGTGTCCCCAGCGGCAATTTGTTTTGACATCTTTTTATATGATCATCACTGCGGATCTCTTAATTATCGAGAGAGGTGAATTCATTTTTTAAAAAAAAAAGGTAACGTCTCGTAACTGAAAATACGCCACGCTTGCTTTGATCTTGAGGGATAACAAAACAAATGGGAGCTGACACCGAAAAATCTTCTGCCTGCTTTCCCTGGCAAAGATTCATTGAACCGAAAAGCCTTATAGACAAGTGTCTCGAGGTTGCACTTTATATTTTAAAAGGCAATTTTCGAGTTAAGCTCGACTAATGTTGTATGAAATTTTTTTCTTCTCTTTTCCAGAAGCTTCAGCAAGGCAATCGGCAATGATCGAAGTGATTCTCGCGCGTAATGACAGCAATGGAAAATCTATGCAAAGTGAGGTTCGATTTTCGAGAAAGAAGCATTCTTTATCATTTGCGGTTGGGGATAATGCTTGCATCCTCTTTTTACCTGGCACGCGCTGGAGGATTTCAATAACAAAAACAATGAGTGATCGATTCCAAAATAGCGAGCTGAGATAGCTTCTCATTAGCATTTCATGTATGGAAAATGGTCCATCTTTTTTATTTTAACTACATTTTTGAAAGGAAGCGGGACTAATTTCGGGCAAAATATGGTCATTAAAAATAATAAAAACAAGTAGTATAAGAAAAAGTTAAGTCAATTTTCCTACTTAGGGCAACAAAGAAAATTTTTATTTTAGTTACTTTTAAAAAATAGTTACAATTGATATAAATATGTATATACATATGACAGAATCACAGTATTAAGTGACAAAATAGAAAGCGATTTTCCTTGCAATTTTCCATTTTCCTTTCTATATAGGTCAGGGGTGGGCAGACTTTTCCAGGGTACGGGCTACTTCTAATGTTTTTAAGGTGTTGCGGTCCACCCAATGGCGTAGGTGTGGCCATTCTGTTTTAAAATTGTATGTTTTCTTTTCTTAACACTTGTTTCCGACATTGTATCCCACTTTTAAAATATGACAGATTACTTAGACAATGAATGGAAAGTGGACGTATTCAATACAGCGTGCAGAAGACATACGTGGACGGATACATCTGAAATCAAAGTATGTACTTAATTTGTTCATTACCGTGTCCCGCTCCATCGTGGGACATGGCTTCGATGCGGAACAAGCGTGGGATGGAGCATCATGTCGTCATAGTCAGTCCCATGCTATCGCGGGAAGAGTGAATCCTCAACATTTATTCTCCCCTACAGTCGGCGTGTAGGAAAAAATTTATTTATACGGCTGGCATTGCAGTGATCCAATGCCATCGTGTGTTTCCAATTAAGGTACATGAGTCGTCTACACATATGGAATCGAATCATTTATGCAAGTAACCACAGTCGAATCGATTGTGAAAAGCTGATTCTCTAGTCTAGCTGACGTTAGTGATAAAAAAAAGTTTCTTTTAGTGTGTGCGTCTTAGGTCTTAGTGAAGGTGGTCATCTAAAAATGTCTTAGCGGCCTTCCTGGTCGATCGCGATCGACTTAATACCCACCCCTGACATAGGGTGTTGGACTATTTTTTGTTTGCTACTATTTATTCATTAATTAAATTTAATTATTCTAAAAAAATAGTAAAAAATAAATCACATTCGTAGAAATTAGGCCATCCCAAGTGGGATTCGAACACACGACCTTTAGATCAGAAGTCCAACGCGCTATCTATTGCGCTACAGGGACACAACGATTTTCCTTTCTATATATAAACTGTTGGACTATTACTTTTGTTTGTTACTATTTATACATTTTTTAATTTAATTAATGAATTATACTTGAAAAACTGTATTAACATCAAGTTTCATCATCCACAACAAGTTTAAAAAAATGTATTTGAACTTGAATGGATGAATAGAATGTATTTTATTAACGATTGAAAATTTGAACAAGATTATATGTTTATATAGAGAGAGGGAGGGGGAGAGAGAGTGAACTAGTCGTAGGAATTGAAAAACAACGAAAAACCATAATCCTTACATGGTAATTGAAAGATTCCTTCAACACGAATTGTGCTCAGTTATATAGATTATTAGAGTCCTATGCAGCAGAGGTTCTTAAAACTTTCGATCGCTTTCTTTTTAAGTATCAGGCTGACATCGCGGACCTCCAAGATTACAGTCATGAATTCACCTCTCATGACTGTGTAGCGGTACCATCTATAAAAGCCAGTAACAACCTCCGCACCATGGTGATCATGTTGGTGTAGTGGATAAGTTACTCGGCTTCGGATCCAAAAGTACCTGGTTCTATACCAGCGGATAAATGCACCACTTCAACTGCATAGGAATACTATTCTAAATAGTCTGTGTTTTGACCCCCTGTTGGTAATATATATATAACCAGTGGCACACACAAGGGGGTGTCCTAGGGGTCCACCCCCCCAAAGCCCTTGAGTGTTTTTCGATTGCTGATAATCCTATAGATATATATAACGTAAAATTCAATTAAGTACTTGTAATTAACAATTTATTTTATTAATTAATGATAATTATTAATTCAATAATTTATTTTTTACTGTTTTTGGTTAATAAAATTAACAAAATCAGAAGAATCAATTGGTGTTGCCTTGAGGTATGATACGAGTTGGGGGACTTTCAACCATGGATCCTTCCCCCTTGAAAAAATTTTGTGTGCGTTACTGCATATAACCATTATTTTTTAACTTTTCCGTTCGTACTGTTTCCAAGTTTCATTGGCAGTTACTAAATTGATTTATTTTTTTAATCGAAACTTTACAAAACAATTTAATTGTTCAAGTGTTCAACTGAGTAAATTTGGGACCGACTGAAGGAGTGTTTATTAACATCGCACTCTAAAGCAAGACGAGGGTTATTGGCAACGGACCCACCTGACGCTCGTCATTTTTAACTATGATCACGTGGGGAGGAAGACATCTGAGCTGGCACCACCCCTCTCCAAACTTCCACACCACGCGCTAACCGGAGGATTTTGATTCACGAAAGATTTAGCGTGCGTCAGCTCTCTACAAGTTGGATCTTCAGTGCGTTCAGGACTCGGAACTCATGACGTGCTGGCAATGAGTTCGTGACCTTGACCACCAGCTACCGGGGCCACTTCAGAGCGGGAAAACATACGTATTTACATACAATTTTATTTATCGTACAGATAATTCCAATATTTTCATTTAAAAAGTTATTTAATAGAATTAACACTCGAACCTAAGGCTTGACTTGAACACCACCGAACTGTATGAACAATGGCTCTAGCAGCGGTTTTACAGGTTTTGAAGAATAACAAAAGTTTAATTGGTATGTCATGGGCATTAGCAACGTCAATAAAACTGTCGCATTATTAAACCATTGCTTTAGAATTAAAAACTTCGATAATATTTGTTACTCTCTAACATATCAAAACTCAATGTTATTCTAGCTTATGGTTCACATGCAGTGTTTTTTTTTAACACTTAAATCAACAAAAGTGCTAAGAAATAATTTAATTAAAACAAACTGTTCGTTTATAAAATTGCATTTTGTTAATTTTTGCCTAGTTCCAGAGCCAAATTAATACTCAAGGGATCTTTTACATGCCACTTAATCATATGACATGCAAGCCTACGTTTTTCGTATCCACAAAATCTATCGACTCAAACCGGAATAGAGCCCGCAACCTTAGGCTTACGAAGCCGGCACACAACCTGTCAGCCAGAGAACCGACTATAGTTAGATGTATGCAAATAGATCTTTCCTATTGATTGATGAAACCTAGATTTTTAAGCCTTCGATTTCACTTTTATTCAGTAAAATTTAAAATTCAACATCACACAAAATCCTTTTCCGTCAAATTATTTTTTAATCGCGTTCTTTTGTATAAGTAAAAAAATTTTGTTTACAAAAAAAACGGATAAAAATTCCTAAAAAAGGCGTCTTTCGTCGTTCATGACGGAAGTCCATTAATACTTACCTTTTGTGCTACAAAAAGTGGTACAAGAATTCAAAATACAATGTTAGAAATTCAGTGGTAGCCGAAAAAAAATATCAAAGCTGCATTCTAACACACACACATATGCAGCAAGATTATTTATAAAAACACTTCTCGTTGTCTACTTCCTCTACCCAATTCGTGCTTTGTTTATAAAAAGAGAATTTTGGCTCTATGTATTAAAAAAACTGTTGTTTTTCTTAAGCCGAACTGTTTACGACGAACGTACCGGAATTATTTGTATTTGGACTTTAGCACAGAAAGAAAATACAATGCTCAGATATGCGATTTTTTATACTACAGATACAGTCAACATGTTGCTTAAAACATTTTAGGAATTTTTGCTCGGGTAAAGTAATAAAACGTCTACTCTGTATGCTGAGTGGCGCGAATTTGCATGCACCAGAATCCATAAATAAACAGCACGATAGCAATAAAAAAAAAAAATAAAAGGATAAAGTTGCAGCATACGGCATGCAGCAATCAAAATGCATTTGGAGCATTTCACCGAGAAGTGTGTGCAAAATGGAACAGTTTTTGAAAGTTTAAGCAGCTGATACGATAGTTGGAAAAGGACTCGATGAATGCTCAGCTTGATTCATTCGAATTAGACCTACACTTGACACAATTTGTGACGATTTTGGGATTAACCAACGAAAATAGTACATCAGGGAGCAATTGGGAGGATGAAAAGTCCTCTTGGTTTGCTTTAAATCAGGGGTGGGCAACTATTTTTGCTCGAGGGTCACTTTGCGGAAGCGGAGGATAGCATAGGGCTAGTGGCGTAATGTACAACCCGCATCGCAAGGGGCCCAAACCTATGTTATGCCCAACCTGACTTTGCAGGGGGGGGGCTTAGTATTCTCCGTTACGCCACTGGATAGGGCTGCACTTTAAAATCATTGAATTAATTAGTTAACATCTCAAAAGGTATATAAATTGTACCATAAAAATAAATATTAAATGAAACAGCGGTAGTTTTATTAAATTTATTTCATCTATAGCTGCAAGTCTATTTAATTTTAGAACCAGTTTAAGGACAGAAATTGTGACAGTGGCGTAGCGTACACCCCCGCATTGCGGGCGGCCCCAGGGGGCCCAAAGCCTGACTGACACCAAGTTACAATCCTTTGTAAGATCCGACATGGGGCCCAAAATCTGACTTTGTAGGAAGCCCAAATATTCTTCGTCACGCCACTGCAAATAGACCCTTAACACACTTTTCTACAATTTTCTTCGCAACCAAGTGAGTGAGTGAATAAACGTCACACTGTTCAGCTACACAAGGGCTTTTGGCGACGGACCTCTTAATTTTGAACCATGCTCAAGTGACGAGGACGACACCTGAGCTGGCACCCCCTCTCCTAACTACCCCAACACACCAACGGGAGAACGTTTGAGCTCTCGAGAGATTTAACGTGCATCGCTTACACAGCGGGTCTTTAGTGGTACTGGGCTCGAACTCATGACATGTCTGCCATGATCCGATACCTAGACCACTTGTCTAGCGCGGCCACTTTTCGCAATCAAGAGAAAGATTTCTTGTTGAAATTCTCTTCACAACCTTCAAGTTAATGACAGCCAACTTTCATTTATATAAACTTTTGTTTATCTTCATACAAAAAAAACCTAGTTTACAAATACATATTGACCAAATATAGAGAACATTTTCTGTCTATTAGGTTGACTGATTATCTTGACGGGTTGCTAGTTACCTGCCCTGCCTTAAGAGAAAAAAACGGAGAGAGAAAAAAAATGGAATTTAAAAAAAAAACCATGATACATAAAGAAATTTGCCTTATGTGGGTGTAGACCAGGGGTCGGCAACCTGTGGCACGCGGTGCAATTCTCAATGGCACTCTGCACTATTCTACACATTTATCAATTTTTGAGTTGAAGTCGATAAATTTGTAATGAGCCTTATTTTTGACAAACATCTTCAGAATAATGGATATTTACGAAATTACGAAAAAATTTGAAAAATATCTCTAAAGACAAATTTTCAGCTATTTTGTAACTTATTGAATGTTATTGCTGGAGAGATTTAATTGTTTGAAGAGAGAAAATTGCATGTACTCTGCTTTCCATATTTGGTTGTAGATATCTAAGTAAAAATTCTTTCTTCGTATGAAAAATGTTTTGAGTCCGCAAAGAAATTGTTTACCAAGTGAATGCTCAGAATCGTGCAAATTGTAAGAAAAAGATGATATTCCTGATTTACGGTATGAAAGTAGAGAGATGCAAGCAGAGATTTGCATTAAAATTTTTATTTATCTTTTGATTTAACTATAATGAAGGGACATACTTATATTTAATATTGTCTATTTTTTATTGGAGTAATTATGTTTAAAAATATATAATATAGGGTACAATTTGAATTTTTTCATTTTTGTTGAAGAAACAGTTATATTTTATGCTGTTTATTTTTATGTTAAGAAATATCTGTAAAAGATGCAAAATTAACACATAATAAAACTGTAAGCCTTATATTATTGAGCTCTATTCTCTCACTCTGCATGCATTATCGCGGGAATTGAATTTTGAAAAATGTTCTATTGTGTGGCACGCTGAATCATATTAGTAGATTGGTTTGGCACGTCTCAGCTAAAAGGTTGCCGACCCCTGGTGCAGACTATATAATAATATAAATCTAGGCTCGTCATATACAGACAAACAATAACTTATGATATATTTAACTAGAAATTCGGCTGATATTAACTCAAAATCCTGTGAAACTTATCTTA